GCAGGGCAGGGCAGGGCAGGGCAGATTGAATTTTTCATTCAAGGGTCCAACCCTTCAGGCCCCCCTCAAGGGGGGTTTGAAGCCCCCCTTCAAGCCCCCCTTCGTCGAAGGGGGGTGGGCCCAGCCCCTGCAAGTCGGCAACATCAAACAGTGTCATGGTCTGACAGAATAGGTGAAAAGAGCCAAAGTACGTCGACCTTGCCCCACTAAAAAAAGGCCCTCCCTCATCCACTGGCTGTTCAATAAATGCGGCAACGTGTGTCGCGAGAATGGATAGGCCTCCAGCGGTGTGTGCGCACAGAACGCCAGGATCCATGCAAGTAGAAAGGACAGCGTGTGCCACGGCCTGTAACCCAATGCGGATGACCACCGAGTGCTCCGTCGTGAAGCCAGGCCTCCTGATCAAGGGGCTGAACACTCGTTGGCAGGCACTCGAATCCTTGGCGCAGCTGCGGCGCGCGGTCTAAGTTCCTGGTGGCCTGGGCGACGCAAGGATGCCTGTGTGGAGGCGGCTAGATAGCCCCGGCATGCGTGCGCCGACACCGATGAAATCTCGCGCCGATAGCCACCGCGAGGTGCGAATCACAATGTGGGACGTACAACAAGGACGGAGAAGGAACAGCGCCTTGAGAATGTCAAGTGCTGCAATTGTGACCAGTACGGCAACTCAAGTGTCCGAAGCCATGGAGGAAAAGCATCTGCGTTTCCGCATTGCTTCAGCGCAGGTCGCGGCAATGTCTTCCCAATCTTCATCAGACAGCCCTCCGCATCAAGCGCAACAGGACACTTCAGGTCAAGCGCAAACACGGCTGTTTCAGGGGCTCGAACGGGAAAACGTGCCAGGTTTTGTTTTGACGATTCGTTGAATGGGAAGAGTTTGTATATTTATAAACGAAGCAGCAACTGTACAGTATTTGATGCTGTCAGACATTGCGTGAAAAAATACAAAGTCTTTTGTCCTTCCCAAATGGGCATGCGTCAGGAATATGCTCCGAAAACGGATTCTTCGAAGTTCGGCTTCTGTCGCTCCACGTGACCTTTTTCTTTGGTGTTCTCTAACATGTTGCACAACATGTGCCGTTCATGTAGCTCTGCAGCATGCATCCGCAGATGTTCACACACCGCACCCACCCGCCCCGTGTGAAATAGTCTTTTGGGCCGCCTGCCCAAGACTACTGGCTTCTAGAAGTGTATTGGCACGCTTTGCCTCTTCACCGATTACGCATACTACGTGTCACATCTCCGGTTTTACGCAGGGGGCAAATCGCCCGCTTGCAGCGAAGCCGGTCTTAAGAGTTTGCATTGCATTGCATGCTGCGCATACATGAACATTGTAGAGAAGTTCCTATTTCCACAGCGTCGTTCTCGGAGTAACACAGAAAATTCAGAGGGGGAGAGAGAACCGGATCCGGAGAACAACAACCTGGCTGATTACACTTGCCCGAACGTTCTCGGGAAGGAAAGTTTTTATCGATTTGTTAACGAAGTTCGCAGGGCGTGATCAAGACGTTACGCACAGCCGCAAAGCAATGGGACACGACCTTTTGGAGCGGGGAATCGGTATCCTGGAAATCGTTGATGAAGTGCGAAAACCTATTATTATTTGAGATTATGTAAAGAAAACAAAATAAACACACCAACACTGCAAAGAACATTCTGCGGTTCTACCTTTGAAGCCGACAATGCAATCTGGCTGTGGCTGGTGGCTCCCCAGCACCAACAATTTGCGTTTTTTCGCTAGTTTTGAGCAATTGAGCAGAACGACCAAAAGCCCTCAAAACAACAGGAAGTGGATGTAAACTAGCTGAGGTGGCACGACAGTCGCAAAAGGTTGTGTACCGTGTATTTCTCAGTCAGCTGCAAAGCTGGAGGAAAAATGCCCGCGTTTATGTTACTGAATAGTTCATGTTCACGCAGCTTGGACACGCTCGGTAGAAACGTTTGGCGGAAACACCCAATGCAGCTACAGAGACATTATACAGAATACTGGAGGGTCCCGTGGCAAGGGTCGCATTGGCTAGTACTTTTCCTTGAAGTTCAGGTTCTAACAACGGAGCTTGGATCCGCAGAGTTGTTGCTTACAGGTACCATGCACGTAGTAAGTTTCAGTGTTTTGATCTGATGCTATCTTTGGCTGGTCAATGCTTTAACGTAGTGAATACCCAGCCACACAGAGTCGCAAAGATATGTAAGGTAATTGTGAGCATGGTGGAGCCGCAGTCTTCAAAAGGTTCGCATTTGCCGGGCGACATTGTGCCATGACTGAGATTGACACCTTGGGCGACGAAAGTGTCGAGGCGCTGGTCAATACACTCTGTCTTGAGGGTTGCTGAGAGTGGTTGTGCGGATTTGTTCATTGGTGCAGGTCGCGGAGAATTTGGATGAATTTGCATTGGGTCGGTGCGTGACTCACTGAAGCATACTGCCGACCATAATATGGATTATCTTTGGAGGGTTGGACGGGACGAGCTTTTGTTCGAATACCTTTCATATTCGTGGCCAGATATCAAGGATCCATCTATTGACAGACGTTTTTGCGTTCTTTCGCTGCAGATAATGGGGAAGGTGGTTTGTTAAAGAGAGTTGCATGGTCTCCTTGGCCGAACTTGTCATATTTGGAAATTTTTGCAATTCCAACAAAGCTGCCTGGCCAGTTTCCGGCTTTCCGATCGCCAGAGTGGATTAAAAGCGAGTTCGCAGCTCGGCTGGCGACGGAACTGACGCGTCATTCCGCTTGTGTTTCATCTTGGGTTAGGGCAACTTTGGCGATTGCACGCATTTCACAATTCCCGATTGCTTGAACTGCACCTAGGAGCTGGTTTTGTCCATTTTCAAGCAAAGCATGTTCGGACTCGCAATGGATCAGTTCTCTTTTTTGCGTGCTATCGAAGCTTGCATGAAGTTACAACCTTACAAGCAATGGATGGACTCGGACCTTGCGGTTGACTGGGCTCTCCGGGTTCCGTCTCAGCCCTGGCAATTAACGTATCCACTCTCCAGTGCCGGTACATCCGTCCTTCTCCGAACTCAGAGCAGTGAGGTTCGACCGTCCATCAGCGAAAGCCCCGAGAGTTTCAAGCAGCCACCTTAGAACCCTCTGCCCAACAAACCCCAGGATCGCTTGCGATGTCCGACGGTTGTCCTCGAGGATCAAGACTTGCAGCCTGCGTGTCCTCCCTTGTCGGATTGAGCTTTCCAGTTGTGCAAGGGCCATGGATGGAAATGATGGGCAAGTGTGGTCAGTGCGTCGATATCGTGTCTGTACCTTTGTATTGCCATCCCTTGCACCAAGCGACAACAAAGACCGCCACCACGAACAGCAGTGCGGCGGGAAACGGTAAATTGATTTGCCGAAGAGCAAAACGCATGTGGAATGTTTCTGCTCATGCAAGATCTGCTTGGCGCTCTCAGGTACATGGCTAGCTTTCCCACCGTAGGCCTCTATCCTGGCAAGGCGAGCAGCTGTGCTTCAGCACCGGGTGCCATGTTGCGGTGTGTGATGGGCTCGTTCATGCTTTTGCTAGCGTGTGGTTTTTATTTCTAGTGCTTCTTGCGTCTTCAGACTTAAAGCTTCAGGCCTTGCGAAGTTCGGGTCGAGGGGGGTGGCGGTGGGGCTTGGGCATCATCATCATCATCATCATCATCATCGTCGTCATCGTCATCGTCATCGTCATCATCGTCGTCTTCATCATCCTCTCTTGCATCATCATCATCATCATCATCGTCATCATCATCATCATCATGATCATCATCACCGCCATCGCCATCATCATCTTTATCATTCTCGTCGTGTTTCGGAAGGACTTCAGTCCTCAAATTCTAGTACCTGAACCCTTGGTGTTGCACCAGGTCTTTGGGCCATAGGGGTTTGCGGCTTTCCTACATCAGCAACGCTACACCGTAACAAAATTAAGCTCTGAGCCTATGCCTGCTCCCGCTACCCTGACGCCACTACCAAGCCCATGAACCACTCGTGGAGTGCCACTGCCGCTGCTGCCGCCGCCATAGTCGCTGCTGCATGCCGGTCGTTGACTACTACTGCTCAACCCGACATAAGTGGCATAAAGCATCATCATCATCGTCATCATCATCTTCATCATCATCTTCATAGTAAAAGCACCATCATGATCGTGCTTTTTCGTCATCCACATCGTCAACATCGACATCGCCATGTCCAGCTTTATCAGCGTCACAATCGTTGCCATCATTCCCAGCATCCCCATCAACAGGAATGGAAATCATCCTGAACAAGGGCTTGTGTGCAGCTAGCAACAGTAACATAGCATACGAAGGTACTTAAATCTCACATCCTCGGAGACCCGCATCTTCCTCCGGAATAATCACGTGACGGATTGTGCTCATGTGCTGTGATGACATGGGACCGCATGTTGGTCATGCAAGCATAGTTCGCCTTCCTCCGGTGGACGTTCCAAACCAAAACCCCAGTGAACGTCGCAAGCAATCCTGCTCTTTGCATGGCCTTCGTCAACTCCAAACCGCACCAGAACAATGAACTGGACGTCTCGCAGGTTCGGCAGGTTCGCGATCAGATCAGGACGGCCCTCTTCCGCCAGGCTGCCTCGGACCTCAACCGGAAAGTGGAAGTTCTTGATGCCTGCTCAGATGCTGCTTCTGACTTCGCGTTGCCGTCAAGTCTATTTAGCACCGAGATGGTTGTGGTTGGAGCTAAGAGGCACTGGTTCTTGTCGTTTCTCACTCCCTGGCAGAGTCATTGCGAGACCTCACATCGTAAATCCAATCACCCGGCGATATGGATCTGCCCGGACCCCGAAGATTGAATTTTCCGAGGTTGGCAAGGTCTGTCCTGAGGGCCAAGGTACGCCGCCTGCCGCGATGTTTTCACATCAAATCCGCTGCCGGAGGCATATAAAATGAAGCTGCAGAGAGCATCCCAGCGCCCCAAATTAGCCCAACTGCAGAAAGAATCTGGGAGCCGCGTGCTCATCAGCCTAGACATGCCGAGATCAACCTGGTCCAGAGTTGTTGCGTAGCTGCCGAGCGCATGCCGTCCCCAGATCAAATGCCCGGCCTTTCCATGAAGGGCACCATGGCAGAACTTTGCGAATGACTTCTTGAGGAGTGCAAGGCTTTCCTCGACTTCCAAAATTTGACCACCCCCGGTTCGACAGTGTTCATCAGATTTGCATCAGCTTGGCACTGGTGCTCTTGCCAAAGACTTGAAAGTCTGAAACTCAGTTCACTTTGCTTCCGCAGTTATTGTTGGCAGCAGTGCGTTGTTTTTTAGCAGCTCCTTGATGAGATACCAGCAGATGCAGTGGTGTTTGTGATGTAATTCAAGACGACTTCTCTGGATCGCTCAGTCTATAGAGCTTGCCCTTGGGCTTGACGTTTGAATGCTCTTTGAGCCTTTACCTTTGTACGAGAGACATGCCCAGATGTGGCCGCCAACGAGCGGAAAGAGCATTCGCCACCAGAAACGAATGAGACGCCGGCTTCTTGGCATCGCAAGCAGGGTCGGCTGACAAGGGCTGCCACGATTGCCCAAAAAACAGGCTGATCTCAGCTCCAGGCCAGTCGTTTATGCAAGGCTCGTGCCTCGTTACGAGACTTTGCTTGTATCTGCGAGGCTTGACAGGGTCTGGACAGGTAAGCTCTTCCCACCACGCCAGATTATTGGGACCTAGGACAGCCAGTATGGGAAATCGCCCCAGCACTCACCGTGCCTTCGGCAGCCCACGGTTACAGAACTGGAGTCGTTCCGAGGTTGAGAATTTTGGAGTGAATTTTCAATGTGTCGGAGCAGTCCTGCGATGTGAAATATACGTATGTCTCAGGCTGCGGAGTTGGAAGACTATGTTAGCAGATTTCCAGGCAGCAACTCAAGATACTCGCGTGACTCCCGAAAAAGCCCACCAACTCTTGAATGCTCAAGACATGCCGATACGTCAAGTTTAACCATACTCATGTTGTGTTGATGCAACAAAGCTCTTAGCAACAAGTCTGCGCAGCTTAAGTGCTATGGCTCGCTGACGAGTGATTCTTCAAAAGTCTTCACCCGCGAAAACCAAGCAGTGTGGCTATCAGTTTAAAGCATTGAGAAGTTCGTGCTTCTTTAATGTCCATGTGTGTGCGTGTCTGTTGGGACGATGTGTGCTTGATCTTGCGTTTAATGATGTTAATGGTTGCCAGAGACATGCAAAGTGAAGCTGCAAGTGCACATTCGCGATAGGACATTGAGAGTCTCGCCTTTGCCGGTATGTGGAAAACTCTAGTATGAAGCTTTTGACGGCTCTGACCCACTGCGGCTTTCCTGCGAAGGGTTGGCAGATATCGGCAGAGCGTCGTCAGCTCGACTCTTGTCTTCATCAGGTCTTGAGTTAGTTCTGTAGGAGCATACTCCGAAGCCTTAGTGTATGACAAGATAGCCGGCTAGTCCTTGCGCTGTCTTGGGAATGAGCTTTGGAAGCAGGTTCCATCCAGGGGAGCTTTGCTCTAGAGACTCAGCGCTGCCCGGGCAGGTCGAGACCTTCGATTGCCGAGAGAGCCTTGGCAAAGGACGTTTGGGGCTGTGAGGGCTAAGGGGCTGGAGACCCTGTCGATCTCGGACATCCCAACATCTACGACTCACCTTAAGTCGCTGAAAAGGTTCAATGGGGTCAGGCTGACGATTTTTTTGCTCGCATGCTCGACAATGTCTGGATCTGTTTGGCATACTTGCAGCTATTTGCATGATGTGCTGTGGGCTCTCAGGTCACATTGAGAGCATGATGCGCGGGCCTCCATCCGGCAGCCCTTCTGCAAGATATCCCATAGTTGACCCAGTAGACCAACAGCACCCGTTGAGCTGATTTGCTTGAAAGCATGATGCTGCTTCGAGCTGCCGGGGAGGGTGAGCTAAGACCCCATGACATCCCCCATGGCCCTGGCACGTCCAGAAGCTGGCGACTCCTTCGCCGGCGATCGAATTTGGACCGAGCACACCCCGGTCAAGAGCTATTGGAGCATACAGCTCCACGGCTGGCTTTAAGCGTTCGGGGTTCATGTTTGGATTCGACACTCGGACATTGTCCTCTCACTTGTTTCTCTGTAAGTGGCGAGTTGCATCACAGACTGTGGGTGGGGAGCTATAGTTGGTTGCGGAAGTGCGAAGTAAATCGCCAAGGAAGAACTCCAAGTCCTGTTCGAAGGCAAAGCAGGGTCCGAAAGCCTAGCAAGCCTTCCCGCACTTTGAGCCTCAGACATGAAACGAAGCCCGAAGCTCGATACACTGCATCGATGTGTAGCATGGAAGCTCCATGCTTGGACCTGAGACGTCAGCGTGCCTAGCCTGAAACACTGGGCCCCAGTGTGGCTATGCAGGATGCCTCGAAAATCTAACATGACAGGGTTTGGAGTCAGTTTTGGATTCAGTTGAGGGTAGAGCGATCTTTTGTAGGGCACCCAGTTCCAGCTCGCCGAGATTCAAATTTCCCCGAGCATTGTTGATTTATGCAGAATCCGCAAAGCAAAGCAGAAGCTACAGCGCAACCGCGGCGGTTTGTACCCGCACTGTTTTTAGGCTGGTTGGGGCTCCCGTGCCCAGAAAGTCCTCAACCCTCGGCCTCGGCAAGCCCATCCGGCCACTAAGGGCAACGGGACGGGCTTGCCAAACGCAGTTGCACGTCCGTGTGAAGGGATTTGCAAAGTTATTGGCTTTTGGGATATCCGGAGCTTTCTTTGCAGTTCGCCTGAAAGCGACAAGCCTCCATGTTGAGTGTCAGTGTCTGGCGGGCTGCAATCATGTTGAAACCCCGGATCGTGCGTCGGGACTCTCCCACTGACCTGCTGCATCGCAAAGCATCACCCTGACAGGGGCAGGGCAGTACGACGACTTTCCGCCACTCGAACATGGTATGCGTTGAGTGTTGGGAGGAGATCGGAGCTTCTGAAAATCCCACATGGGCATGTTACATACTTACCATGAAGTGCTTCATTGTGGCAACTCTGATTCCGATGCTGTTGAAGACATGCCGTTGTAAACATTTGTTTCGAAGGGTGATATCATATCAAATGATCGTTCGGGGTATTTAAAGGTCTCTCTCTCTCTCGCTCGCTCTCTCTCCGTTCCTGTTTTGTGTTGGGAATGTTCCAAACTCGTCACACTTCCGAAGAATGACACGTGCTTTCTTGCTACTGTGTTGATTTAGATGTTTCAGATTCGGCCTCTCGGAGGCTCTGCCGCACCCTCCTCTTATTGTGACCTGCTTCCTCGAACCCCGGTGCTACACTGTTCCATCTCAGTTGATGCCGACGGCGCAGAGCAGATGGCAAAAGACAAGTGGCTGTTTCTTGGGCGCTTCTGACAAGACTTTCCTGTGTTGGTGGTGCAGGCCTGAGACTTTGACAATGAACGCCTTTTACTTACTGAGGTTTGTGCCGCGATGGAAATGGGTGCAGGTCCCTTGCCTCCTGCAAGGTCAGCCACGGCGTTGGCTGAGGCTTCAGGGCTCAGGAGCCTTCGGGACGACTGGTCTGGTGTGTGTGTGTGTGTGTGTGTGTGTGGAGGTGGATACATGCTTCGACGCTCCATGATGATTGCCATACTAGGATTCCACAACTTCGAGCTATGCGGTGTTTTGTTCCCAGTTGAGAGGAGGCCACCGGAAGTAGTCCCACGTGCCTCTACAAATCCTGCAGTACAGCACCTCCCTTCCACGGGTATAGGGGTCTACCGCCTGTTCCTGATTGCTGGCATGAGCTGGGAGATGGTTCGAGGCGTCATGAGCTTTGGACACGGGGAGCAGGTCGCGCGCTTTTGGATTCGGGATTGGAAGCCTCGCCTTGCCAGCTTTGCAGCCCCTTAATTCGCGTGTCTGATGTTGTGCCCCTGCACTCCGCCTTGCGTTTTCTATGCTCCTGTTCCCGTTTCTTCAACGAGCAGTTCCGGTAGCAGTGTCGCGTCACGATCGCAATGTCCAAGTTTCACGACCGCTTCCCCTTAGTCCCCCAGACTCCTAGCACCAAGATCTGGACCACCGCGATGCATTTCATGGTGCTCATCAGCGGATTCTTCACTCCCCTGCGCTATGCTACTTTATGGCACAGGGCTGTTCGTGAGGCTGTGCGTGACGTCCTCGGAACAGTGCTTCTTGCAGTGTTGATCGGCAGACATTCTGTTAGACACTGATAGCCAGGCTGATGCCCCTCAGGCTGAGAAAGGAGAATGCAGAGAACCATTCTAGCAGCGGTCGTAGGGAATGTCGCTGGACGTATGTTCTCTGCCACTTAGTAGCCTCGGTCAGAGTTGGAAATGGGTTCATGGACAGAGTCGGTTCAAGGGTTACTGAGCGGGAACGACGAGTAAGTCTTCGACCCCGGAAGCACGAGCTTGCGGAGGCCGTGCCGAAGGGCTTCGATCCCTGTAACATGCTGTAACATGGCTCTTGGCCGCTCAGGCCAAGAGCCACGGTTCCGGATTTGTTCAAGAGTTTTCCAGAGATCGGATTGTAGTAGGGAGGTCTACAACCGGTTACAGCCCTGCGAGAGAAGCTGCGCCCGCAACTTCAGGCGCTGCTGGATCCGAAGGCTGGGGCTGCTTCTATTTTCTTCCCTT